TACATATCGAGCGATTTCATTAACTGTGTCTGCGATGGATTCTGCTCATTGGTTGGTGCAACGGGGTTGCAGACACGGAATTGTTGCGCCAAAGTGGAATATATGCAGTGGACTGAATATTTTTGCTGAGATACCTGAGATGGCTCGTTTATGCGTGGCGTATGTATTCAACGCGGATACCGAGGCAGCTATTATATGGTCAATTGGGTATTGGAAATCGGCATGTAGGGAAATCGAAGCTTCGTTAGCAGGACATGATCGAAATGAGCCCGCAACGTTCTAATTTTGATTGGAGGTCGTGAGAATCGAAGGCGGTTGATCGGCGTGAATAGCGCAATCTGATCACGAAGGCAGTTGCCGAGGCGCACGAGCCAGCTCTCATACACGCGGAGTAGTAGCGGCAAGTGCGGAAACGACAAGCACCTATGAGTTGTACTCCATCGACATCGAGTGCATGGTGCTGTAGCACATGCGGTCGCGCGTGCCTGAGTCAGGTTGGCCCAGTGAGCCATGAGCGAGGCCACTAGGGACCACCACCGAAGCGACGATGGGTTCCACAGGGAAAGTAGGCAGAACCGGCGCAGCGTTTGTACGTAAGCTACATTCGATTTACTAACCGCGTACTTGCATGCGAAGTCTTTTTATTTCAGGTGGTGGGTAATCAAACTTGTCCCAATGCTTTTCCTACTCATATTAGTGTCTACCTGTACTATCTTCTATAAAATTACACACGTCGCTTAAGCTACTTGTAGCTAACTTTGATAATATTTTCACGTTTGTGTCATTTCATTAAAATATATTTTCTGACCTCTTGTACTTATCGCGGATGCGTTCGTAATCAATTGTTTTTACGTCCATTTAGTGAAGACTTATGTCGCCGCATTTATATGCATTATCCGATTTATTCAATTCCATCTTGTCATTTCAAGTCTTTGGCTATTGCTTGATATCCCTAGTGTGTTTGCAATTGATGTTCATGTTGACAAGGTGAATACCTGTCTATTACCCGCTACATCGTCCATACTGGCTCTAGGATACTGTTGGCCGTTGCTGGACTGGACGTGGTGCACGGTCCTTGTGGCCTGTGTTAGGATCAAAGATTGTTCCAGGCACTCAGTGTGAATCGGACTAAAGTCCAGCCACTGTCTTGTGTGCGCCTGATCTCCCAACTACAGCGTGCTTGTGTTTGCCTGTGAAGGAGTGTAGGCTGGCTCCGTTGATGAAACGTGGCTCCCACCCACATTTTCCCGGTCTTATTTCTTCGGGTTTACACTGAATATGGGTGTGTGGATGGAGCTGTGGGTGGTGCAGCGCAAGCCACCCATGCTTCCTCGGTAGGCGCAGGCTTCCTGTGGCTGGCCACAGTGAATGCGGATCCGAAACCCGATGCTGCCATATATATATATACATATATATATATATACATATATATGCGTGCTCACAATCTATGTACAGGGATTTAGCTTTCGGGTCCATGTCGAAATAGAAAAACATGATTGGGTTAACGAAGAAAGGAAACAAACCGTCTTTTTGTCCACTTTTCCACTCACAGTTTTTGAGATTTTTATGTTTTGTTTTGGGGCTGTAAGGGAAATCATAGCAACAAGCAGAGATGAACACCCGCCACTGAGTTCGGTTTTGAGGCATTACTCCTAAATTTTCCAACTAAGGGCACTCAACATCCTTGGGACCTCATTTGGAGAGTCGGGATAAACCACCTGGTGCCAGCGATTTTATCAGCTTTTTCCTCCTGCTTCTACAAGTTGTAGGCTGTCCGTCACACGGCCTCCTCCATCACTGCCTCGCGACCGCGAACGAGGCATGACGTCTAAAACGCTGAACGGATATACGCACTTTGTGTCCAAGCCATCGTAAGTGGCGTAGCGAGACAAGCGCCTCGAGGGAGTAGCTGTCTCCACCCAAGACACGTTGTCTGACTTTAGTGTTGGTTACGTGATTCAGCCACCACACACGGGCGATGGACCGCAAGGAACGGTTCTCCAAGACAGACAGACGGCGTAGGTCATCGGCGCGAGCATGCCAAGTCTCACAACCGTACAACAGTACAGCGGGGGCAGTGGCAATATAAACCCATCCTTTGTTGGAAATGCAGATGTCATGTTGGCGCCACAAATGTCTCAGCCAGGAGAATGTGAGATCAGCTCTTAAAATGCACATCAAAATCTGGTTTCTGACAGCCCCAACAGCAGTTATGCAGCTTCCTAGGTAGAACACGGATGTACAACTTCTAACGTTTCCCCATTGATGGTGAGTGCACCTAGGGGCGTATACCAATCTTGAAAAAGCTCTTTGCAATTGGATGCTGAAAAGTGCATGCCATACTTGGACGCTTCAATCGCCAGGTGGTTAAGTGCAAGCCAGACGTTTTGCGGACCGTCACCCAATAAGACGGTATCATCAGCGTAATCCAAATCAACCTGGGAGGAGCTCAACACCAGCTTTCAACAAGCCTTATAGAGCATTTTTGAGAACATCCTCAATGACGAAGTTGAAGAGGATGAAGAGGGAGGACATCCTTATCGAACCTCACTTGTGACAAAAAAGGAAGGCCAAAGCTTTCCATAAGCCCTAAGTCGGCCTGAGCACGCATACTAAAAACGAACTTCCCGGGAATACCATTCACTCAACAGACGGTGTCGCAATGCAGTCCTGTCGACAGTGTCGAAGGCGGCACGGATATCCAGGAACACAACAATCCTTGGATTTTGATACATATGGCGGTTCAAGAATCTGCCGGAGTGTGAAAATCTGATCCATGCAGCCGCGACAAGGGCGGAACCTAGCCTGTTCTTCTTGCTCTAGTGCTTCACGCGCTGGGGATAGTCTGAGAAGAATGATGGACACCAGAATCTTGCAAACGACGGGAACCGAACTTATGCCGCTGTAATTAAATCAATTTGTGCGCAAGTGCTTTTTAAAGTTGGGGACGACTATCGAACCAAATCAGGTTGATGGAATTTCCTTTTTTGTACTGGTTTATGAAAAGAAAGCGGTGAGTTCTCGAACGAGCGAAGTGCCCCCGACTTTAAATAGTGAAGGAGGTAGACCATCAGGGCAGAGTGCCTTACGACGCTCTAGGCAGCAGAGTTCCCGCCAGCTTTCCTAATGAGAGGGAGATCAGTGGGGATGGTTCACTCATCAACAGTGAGCACCCCAGGAGAAACAGATGGAGCTGGTGGCCAGAAACACTGTGAGCGAAAATGTTTGGCCCATCGCTCCAACCGTCGTTGCAGATTAGTGATTAATGAGTCATTATCTTCGCAGGTTGTTTCGCTTACTTCAGATCGGAAGCGTCCGTTGACTCGGATGCGATGGAACAATTTTCTTAAATCACCAAAGGGATTGTCAATTTCCATCTCTCTAGCACGCTCACACCACCAGGTCTCGGGGTTCTTCTGTAAGCTCCTACGCAATGCTGGATCCAGGGATGGGCTTCACCACTACAGCTGATGTCGGCTGGGATCAAACAGCGTCTATCTATCAGCTATAAGGAGGCAGTAGTGCTCCTGCTTTTCGACAGATGACAAGCAATTCCATAACTAACAGTACTGACAGAACTTAATGCGCCTTTGATGCGTATCCATTGCGAATTGAGACCATCGTCAGAGGATGACGAAAGCAGTGCTGTAAGAGAACCCTGGTACTTGGCTAACATCGCAGGTTGTTGCAGGTTATCAGCATTCAATCGATAGTGCGTACGTCTAGATGATCCCCCCAAATGCATGCAAATTTTGGCGCGTACCAGTGCGTGATCGGAGTCTCGACAAGTTGACCAGTACAATCGGCAGTCCGTTACTCTTCCGCGCCATCAGTAGCTTATTGCTATCTGGTCAAACTGGGATCACTGTTGCGTTTGAGAAGGCGGACACCACATATTAGTCTGTCTCTGTAAATAACGGAATGTTGTGGTCGAAAGAAATTATTGCTGCTCAGAACAAAGTGTCAGTAACCTGTCTCCATTGTCTGATCGGCTTCTACCGAGGCCATGACTACCCCAATTTTGGTGCTCAGTTGGGGGCAGATGACCCGCTAGTGCTGTAATGTCTTCGTAAGAATGCTTAGCTTAGCGAACACTTCGCTCGCGGATCTCCTTCTGTTACAGCCGCTACAGTATCTGCACCAAAGTGCCCTCTGCATGTTAAACGGTCTTTTCGATGCGCTGAAGTACATCTGGTGTCCGATCCATTACGTTGTTTCCTTCAACAGTGCACTCAGTAATGGTACCTCACCTGCAGGCAATGATGATGTTTCTTGCCGTGCTCTCGTTGACAATGGCGACTTCAGCAGCCTCGTGGGTAGTTTTGCCTTAGACTAACACAAGTTTGTTAAAGCTCTCTTTCTACTTGAACGACGTTCACTTTTACCATTGATGCTTCAGAGAGGCGCCTTCTCGTTGAATCTTTGTATATTTCGGTCGTTCCTTACAGAAGCAGGTGAATAAATCTAGACGTTTAGTGAAGTCATAACAGCCTACACTGCTCCAGTAGTCATAAAACTCACTGGTCCATATACACACTAAACAGACACAACCCTGCACACAGACAATACAAACCACGCGACCACCGATAAGGAGACAGTGGAAAACCGGGTCTCCTCTATTGATTGAATTAAACGACACTCATGATTAAGACAAGGGCTTAAATTGACGCCCGTTGTTTGTCATTATGGCTTGCTTTAGTCTAAAATGTTATCAATTGCCTTGCTCCTTGTTCCTTCCTTTTCTGCTTAACATAGGTTGCGTCCAGTTTGAGTTGAAAAAAGTTCACTTCAGTTAGCAGAAGGTACAAGTTAGCATGAAAACGGTTTATATGCATACCATGGCTATAGGGATTACAGAATTAGTGTGATGGCAACTTTGCTCTAAAAATTAACGGGAAACGTTTTGCATCGACATTCTGTTTGATTTGACCCCCTTTTCCACACCCCCTTTACTCATCATTATGGAAAAGAAAATTCGTTTTCATTCTCTTACATTTTAGATCCATGTTCACAGTATGCGACGTTACATACCACGGTTCAACATCTTCCGCATTGCCGCAAATCATGGGACACTGCCTGGATCGCGTGGATGCATGACCGAGACAACCATCGGGTTCCAAGCCACGAGAACGACAGAACTGGAACTCATTGGCAGCTATGTCGTGCCGGGCACCCAGTTCTACACAGTGACCGCCTATCAAAACCCGGATGTGATTCGCGTGAAAATCGACAATAATCCGTTCGCTAAAGGTTTTCGAAATCGTCAAAACACCCACGAATTAGATGGTGCAATGTTAACTGCACTGGGAGTGCCAACTTCCTCCTGCTGATAGTTCACGCGTTGAAGGGTAGCTGGAAAAAACCCCATACACGCAAAAGAAGGTAAAGTATACAGGCTTTACCTCCTTGTCCGCAAGTTGTGTGCTTAGGATGGCGGCATGCTTTGAATGTTCAGTTAGGAACCCAGCTTGATGACAAAGTATTGTACGTTACAATACCTTAAGGTGACAGCGAAGTTTTGTGCTTACCTTATTTTGCTTTGTTTAGTAACTGAAATCACTTTCAGTACAGATGCCGCACATATCACACCAGATGAATTGTACCTTCACTTTTGGAAAGCGATCACATTGTATATAGTTTACATTCTTTTTTACTCATGCACTACCGTATTGTCACCCCAAAAAATATTTATTTCAAAAATCGATATACTCCATTATGAAGTAAAGCTGGACACAGAGGTTTATTAAGATGCCCACTTAGTTACTCGGTAGCCATACAGCTCTTTCAATTAATAGAGGCAAATTGCAATTCAAAGCATCGCCTTTGTCTGATTCAATGTTTATCTCCCTCTGCTAAAGGCAAAAGCCATTGTAGATATTTTCGCACTTGGTTAACTGATGCGGAATTCCAGTGTTTCATTTGTACCGTGTTGGAAAGACGGGGTAGAAGAAATATATGCTGGTGTTCAGGAATCATAGAATAAGTGTCGTGTTATTGGCTACCATAACTTTCAACATCATACTACCTGGCTTGGTAATGTGCGTTGTGAGTAATCCCCTAGGAGACCGTTGCTTCCTTGACCATACAAATCTGTTTACCAAGTGCGATTGGGATTATTGTAATCTGGCTCTTTGCAAACTTTCAGTCCAAGCGGGAAAACAAAGGGCAAAGACATTAATGAAAAGGCGTCTATGGACTTAAACATACGGCCCAAACCCTATCCTTCAGCTCGGATCCTAATCACAATCTATTGATCCGAAGTGATCTGTTTGTAATCAACTCAGTGTTCACTTAATTAGTGTTCCGCTCACAAGTAATTGGACAGACAGTCTCTGCTATTTCCTTATTTATTCCATCAAACTTTCCCAGAGTGGAAAAATGTTTCCAATGGGAACCGCATCGAGCCGCCCTAGTGTAGCGAAAACGACTTGGGGGGGGGGCAATGTGAATTTCCATAAGAACGTGCCACTGATAGCTCAAGACCCGTACAGATTTAGACTATGTTTCCTTCCCATGACGCAACGCGGATGAGGATTTGTGGGATGGGTCATTCCAAGTGCCTCCGAGGTTGAGCTTCGAAACAATCCCTCCATCTTTCCACCCCGTATCTCCGCTGCGCTACATCCGATTCTTGCCGGACATGAGTCGTTCGAAAGCATACGGATTTTTCGTCCGTGGCTGTATCACACGACCCGCGTTCACTCCTGTGGGCATAGCTAGCGGCGCATTTGTCTGATTCACTGCGTTCTCGACAAATACCTCCTTTGTTCTGGGCCCATGCTTGTTACCAGATGCCGCTCGTGATCCGCTGTCGGCTCGATCTGCAACGCCCGCAGCGCCTAGTCTCGTCTCATCCATTGCGGCCGTTGTTACTTCTCCACAATCCAGTTTTGGTTGTCGTTCCGATTGACGAGTTATCCTTGGCTTCCTCCGTCCTACACTAGTAAATGTGAAAGAGCATTAAAACTGGAATGAGGAAGTGGCCGTAGACACTTTACTCATGGAGTGCTTCATAGCAAGTGGTGACTCGCCGATCACTGCAAGCAAACTTGGCCATAAATTTGTGGCAGTTTTGGCAGGTGCCCTTTACGAGGTTCTTCGGTGCCGGGGTAGAGTTGCGTATCTGAACTTTACCCCCGAACTTTTAGTCGCGATCCAAAGGTCTCTATTTATGTCATCGTAATCATACACGGTACAAACCAAAAAATTCGATTTTCGATATAATTCTATTGACCGGAGTGGATGTAGCCCAAATCAAAGTGATTTGCCGTCTCATATAACTCATAAAGTATGGCGCAGCATTTCAGTTTATCATTTCGATCGCTTCACCTCACACCTCATGAACCTAGAATCGGCCTAAGCATGTCCTATAGTTTGGCTAATTTGCTCAAGTTGTTTGAGACTGATACTTGGCCTGATACTGTAAACCCTCTGTGAGTTGACTACTCAAGGGACTGGACCGAATGGGTCTGTTGTGGCCGATTCAGCACCAGGTCGTTACTCATATTTTATTGGCTGACGGAAACACAGCAACACTCTTCTCATTGGTTGTGTAATATCCAGCCCATTAAAATGGACTACTCTGTGTGTTACCACTGTTGTACCTCTGTTATGAGTACCGATACACATCCACCCCTTTCTGGTGCCTTCTCGATACAACATTTGGCGTCGCGAGCCCAAAAATGAAAATTTTTATTCAGTCCTCATCTCCATTTTAGACCGATTGCGATAGCAGACCAACATCAATGGATCAATGGTGTATGATGGGATAAGAAGCATGACTTCACAGAATCAACAGGATCGATATGCAAAAGGAAATTACATTCAAAATGTTCCAATGTCGAATGTGAAGTATCAGTGGTTAAATCATTTCACTTTAGCAAAATGTTGTGTATCTTTCATCACTAAGATGAAAGTCTAGGAGTATTTCGAATGTCATCATGTCTGGTGCGTTCACCACATATTTTGGTAATGCATTCCAGTGAGAACAGATTCTAAATGAGTAAAAATACTTTCTACAATTCAGACGGGAAAGTTGCGTCATTAGTTTCAGGTGGTTGCCTCGGTTTTGTTTGTAAGTGGCTAGAGTCAACAGTGAGGCACGCGTATGCTCGCTTTCAGTTAGTATCCGGTATGTGAGAGTAGGATCTCCGCGAAGCCGTCGGTATTCTAATGAGAACACACCGAGTGCACGAAGACGCAGTTCGTAACTTATACCAGATGCTTAGCTCCGTTGGAAAACATCCTTCGAAAACTACCTGGATTTAATCAGCGATTTTCACTTTACTCTTAGTTAGGAAAACTGATTGAAGCTGCTTCGACCTTTACTGGGAGATGAGGGGCAGCGACAATTTGATGGTTTGCGCCTTCAAGGATGTAAATCCGTTAAAGAAACTTTCAGTGCTTTCTCTAGTTCTTGGGTTTACCAATTGAATGTGTTTATTGCGACATACATTTTCTTCCGCATGCATCAGGAAACAGGTGAACCCTTGAACAATTTCATTGTCCGGTTAAGTCGCGCAGTATCACCGTGTAGTTATTCGTCCATTCCCCACAATAGGATTTAAGGCTGTATGCTGACTCAGTAAATAATTACTGGAATCCCTGGCAATCGTATACGTGGAGCGCCGTTGCAGGAAGTAGCAAACACATTAATATGGGGTCGAGCTTGCGAGGTAGCCAGAATGAAAACTGCAATTTCACTGCAATCGAAATAGTTCTGTTCGACAGACTCAGCTGTGGTGGCAAAGCTACGCTCTTCCCGACATTTATCTGCGGACAAGTCATCTTGCTATCGCTGTGCAAGTGCTTCTCTAAAAGCCAACTTTCTCACTTGTCTCGCATGCATCTGTAAGTACAAAACTGTGGCAAAATTGGGCCCTGCGTCTGATGTTGTCCGCCGCACGTCATCGCACTTATCAACAATGATGTTATGCTTGAAGGCCATGTTGCTGATCAATGTCAGGGGGACATTTATTTCATCACCGCTAATGTTGACAATACAAAATATCTAACAATATTAGTTATTGAACAAAAGTTCCCCTCCACTGATATTCATACGGACATTCCTTACCGTCAAAGGAGCTGTTCCACTTGAAACGGCAATACTTACGGATTCTCCAGTTACCATTATACCTTACCAATTTTAAGAAGGCTACCTATCTCAGCATAGTTCACAGTCCACTTCGCATTCTTTTTGATTACAGTGCAAACATCTTAACCAAATTGGGATTAATTAGCATGTCTTTACAGATGCATTCGGTAGCTTCGGATGTTGCAGTATACATTTCTTCAGATTAACAGAGGGCCCGTAGTTGGAAGAAACGCCATGATGGCTTTGCAATTGATGCCATCTTTCGACTGCATGCTTGTCTCTTTCATCAATGTGACCTACTGGCATGAACGTCATCCTAAACTTTTTTAGCTGTCCATCGGACATATTCCTTGTGGTGTGCACCGCATTCAGCCGAAGCGGAATGCAAAACCATTTGCCGTTAGTCAACCTAGGCCTATTCCGCTAGCAAAACGTCAAGCTGTCTCAGCGGCCCTGTAAGAGATGCTAGCAAATGATTAGATTGAATCCATAGACTGGCCTGCGTAGGTGCATCCAATAGTAAGTGTCCTGAAAAAAGATTGCACAGTCAGAACATGCAACGATTTGCATGGACTAAATAGGCTGATCGTCGTCGAGCAACTAATGATGTCATCCAACGAGGAACTGCCTGTATGTTTTTTACTGGTGCAATTGTATTTTCCAGGCTAGATTTGAAAAGCGTATTCATCTATATACCATTAGTCAACGACTCGATTCATTTTACTGTCTTCCTTGCTCCCTGTGGCTTACTTCAGTACAAAGTGTTGCCATTGGGTTTGAGTTCTGCGCCCGCTGCCTGGCGATGTTCATGACCCAAGCTTTAGAAAGTATTCAGGGGGCAGGTTGCATAGGTGGATTATTTCTGTGTTTTTGACCCTTCACAAAAAGAGCATGATGAAAGATTACACAAAGTCCTTCGGCGTCTCACTAATCTTGATTAAAGTCTGAGTGCAAAAGATGTAAATTTAATGCCACCAAGATTCCATTTCTGGGACAAGTCATATCACGTGGCGGCATTCTCCCAAGCAACGAAACGATCAGGGCCATCAAAGAAACGCCAACACCTAAGAACGTGACAGAACTGAACTCATTTTTGGGAATGTGTCAATGTCATCTGCGTTATTTGCAAACTTTTGCCACCCTAACTGACCCATTACGACAACTAACAAAGAAAGGAGTCGTTTCATTGGGCTTGCGACCAGCAAAACGCTTTCGATGAATTGAAAAGGAGAATTGAATCTGCTTCCTTAGTTGCTATTTTTGATGAACCATGCGGCATGTTCGTGGCGACTGACGCGTCTGATCTTGGTCTCGGTGCTGCTCAGTCACTGCTACAAAACGCAGAGTAAAAGGTCATTGCTTGCACATTTCAGAAACTCTCAGATTCTGAGCACCACTATTCAGTTGGGGAGAAAAAATCTCCTGCTTGTGCGTGGGCTTGTGAAAATGGCAGATTTTCCTTTTCAGTCATCGTTTCACTCTACGAACTGATCACTCCGAATTCACAGTCCTCTTCAGAAATGGACCTAAATGATCATGTCCAAACTGTGTACCGGCCGGCTTAGCAAAACCAGGTTTCTGATGGAGTATCGCG